CTCTTCGCGCTCTATCTCAAGAACGGTTTATTTTATAAAAAAAAGTTCCAGAAAAAAGTGCTAAGGAATTTTATTATCTCTAACTTTTGTAATAGGTGTTAATATCGCTGGAGCTATAGGAACCGAGATAATTGCAATTTCTGTGACCTTTGACCTTCAATAGCTAAAGAAGCCTTGGCTACATTTTTATTGTGACTTTTGGGACAACTATTAAGAACGTCAAAATGAAGGTGTATACCAATTTTCAGCTTCTCACCTCAAAATTGGTAGGTGGAACCTCAAAATTGGTAGGTGGACCCCTATTTTATGCTTAATTAACTAAGAGAGAATGATGCAGTCAATCAAACAATGTTGAATGGAAATTGTCCTTCCCTTTGCAGATTGCTATTGCGAGAAAAGTATGCAGGGAGTTTCTACACAAAATAGCTATTATGTTATATCTGCATAGTGCAGGATTATTCCACACAGGGAAAAAATAATAGACTTTGTTCAGAAACTAAAAGTGGGAGCAGTTTGCGTTGTTAGGACGCATGTGAAGAGTTGACACATAATATTTTGAGCTAAGAATAATTCTCATACAGGAGGAGTAGTCATTTATTGAGTACACCGAGACATACACTCATCAAAATAGTATAGGGAACAAGAAATATCTGTCTTAATAATTGTAAGACAAAACAACTTTTGTTCAAAGATAACCTGGGTTTTATTTATTAAACAAATCTTATCAAATTTACCACGGCTTTTTTCCAAGCTTGTTCAGTTTAAGTATTTTATAACTACAATCAGCAAAAAATTTCTGATAAGTATAGGTATTATTTTTTTCCATAGACCGTTTTGATGTGTCATCAATTAAACCAACTAAAGAAAATGATGCATGATGGTTCCTGATGACAGTGAAATTTACTGGAAAGAGTGCATGGGCTACAAAAATATTATTTCAACTGTAGATACCATTCTCAATCCAGAAGCGATGCCATATTGGCGACTTTAACTTAGATTGGTACAAGGATACTTTTTTAGATAGAATAGATGGATAGATAGATAGATAGATAGATAATTATTGCAATAAACTCAAAAAACCAGAGCAATCAGTTTCATAGGCAACTATAGCACTACTTTCTGACAAAAAGCCAAAGTGGCTCTATTCTGGCGATTTTATTCTTCTAGCGATACCTAAACCCTCATTTTCGATGTGTAGTCGGTCAAGAAAGTAACGTCCCGAATTAAAAATTCATTAGCTTCTGAAACAGAAGCGAATAATATGAACTTTTTCTAGAACTAATAACAATAAAAAAAATTAGGTAGTCATTTTGCAACAGATTTTTCTTTATAGACCGGTGAATTTTTAATTCCGGACATTATTTTAATGGTAAACACATTCAGACAATAACAATGATACTATCTCAAACATTATTTTCTTCTAGGTTTTGATTGCGGGTTGTTTGTTCGTTTTTTGTGATCACCTAGATTCCAAAACACTTTATAGTCTAAGAGCCAGCGGTTCATCCGACTAACCCGTTTCCGACAAACCTAGGAATTTTTTAAATAATGTTTTAATATCGGTCAATAGACCTATCTATTTTTCCCTGGTACGCGCACGCAACACGAGGCAATGCCTTTTTATTGGCTAGCTAGTACAGGTGTGAGGTGTTCGTTTTGCACGCTGGGCATCTCCTTGTCCTTGTTCATTGCCCGTGGTCTGACAAGGATAAAAGTACGGTTGATATTCAACTTGACATAGCTCGACAAGTGACATTTTAAAGTTGTTTGAAATTTTCATTGACAAATACGTTGCACAACACGCGGTCTTTCTCCTTCCCTTTTTATCCCGTGCAAATAAGAAGAACGGATTGCTATACGTAAGTCTAACATAATTTGGTACGTTTTGCCTCGTCTTGCGCAATGAGCGTTCTGTGTCTTTTTTTATCTAATGAAGTTTTCGTATTATTACCTCTTTGTCTGGTAAAATAGATAGGTCTATTGAGAAATTACCGTTCTGGCAGACATCTAGTGGTTGCGTCATCATCTTTTTTTTTAAATGTATTTTTTTTTTTTCAAAAAAAATCTACTTCCACAAGGCTACAATTTTTATGTTTTAATTTACATCTGTTTAAGCGCAAAAAACAAAACAACAAGTATTTGTTAACTGCCAGCATATTTTGGCGGTTGCAAGTGTCTGCCAGAAGAGTATCAAGTGTGTCCACGATAAGGATGGGATAGCAAGATCTATAGAACGGTTGGAGCTACAATGTTGGTTAGATTAGATTAGGAAAAAGTTACGCAATTTAACGATCAATAAAATGACATTTGAAAAATTCTGAACACTTTCGTGGATATCCGGAAAAACCGAAATTTTGCAAAATCGATTTTATTTTTTCCTGAGCTTATTTGAGGAGATATTTCAAAATAAATGTCACTTCACAACTTTATCTAATCTACAAGATGACATTTCCAAATTTAAAATCTGACGTTTCGTCTTTGGGCCACCTTCATCAACTTCATTTTTTTAAATACAGCCCTTGACTCTCTATTTAAAGCTTCTACCCCGGGACAATATACTATTGTACTACTTTTTTTTTATCACAATAGTACATCATCTTTCGGCGTACCACAATAGATAATAATTATTGTTTTGATTCAGAAGACGAAGACTAATAAATTTCGATACCCAATCAATATTGGTTAAGAAAAATAAAAATGTATACTTTACAGATAACTCTGTTTATCTTCAATTTCTGTAATCGTTTATCATATCTTGCTAATATAATATCGTATTCTCTCATTCTGACATTGGAACCCGTATAAGTTTGTTGCTCTCGCACTCCCATCGAGCATCCTGACTATTATACAGGGTGAGTTCTAAGTGCGCGGTGGTCCATATCTTCTATACTAATGGAGATCGAAGAAAAAACTAAATACAAAACTTCTAGATAAACATGAGTACTACATTCCTAAAATATTTTCCAATATACAGGGTGACCCAATAACTAGAAGTGACACAAAGTTATATTTTTTTAAATGATTCCCCCAGTATATATGACATTTCTGGATTCTGCGGAAAATTCTAGACATATTTCATGTACAATGTCATATACCTATCTTCAACTGTTTCGGAAATACTGACAGTTGAAAACTGACTTTTTTGCATCTTTGACAGACTGCAAAACCTGAACAGTTGATTTTACAAGAAAACGGATTTTACATTCCTATCTTGGTTTTTCATAAACTATCATTTGACACCAATCTTGAATTTAATCCATGATTAAAAATTTCGCCTAAATTATTAATCTTCGGTTAAATTCAAAGTTGGTGTCCAATGATAGCTTGTCAAGTCAATTTTCAATTGTCAATATTTCCGAAACAGTTGAAGATAGGTATATGACATTGTTCATGAAATATGTCTAGAATTTTCCGCAGAATCCAGAAAAGTCAGAATATACAGGGGGTATCATTTGAAAAAAACATATTTTTGTGTCACTACTAGTTATTGGGCCACCCTGTATACTGGAAGATAATTTAGGGATGTAGTACTCATATTTATCTACAAGTTTTGTATTTAGTTTTTTCTTCGATCTCCGTTAGTATAGGAGATATGGAAGACCACGCGCTTAGTAACTCACACTTCCAACTGCCAGAACAGGCTGCCTTTTTACATTACTTGTCAAATCAATAAAAGAATATTTCCTCAAAATTTCAGCCTTGTGGGAGCAGGTTATAAATTATTATCCCTATAACAACTTTGCTATCTCCTGGCACGTACTTACAACCCTTAAAATAGGTTGACAATTTTTTTTTTATGCTCAATTATTGTGCCTTGTGCACACATTTTAAAAAACTTGAGGGACGATGACGCTACCACGAGATGCCTGCCAGAACGGTTCTTTCTTAATCGACCGATACTAAAACATTATTTAAAAAATTTCTAGCTTTGTAGGAAATGGGTTAGTTGGATGAACCGCTGCATCTCCTACTATTGGAGACTTCATTCAAACACTACAGAAAGAAATCGACGACTATATCCAACGATTTAAAAAATTTAACATGGATGTGGGCAGGAAATGTTGGGAGAAAATTTAAGAAAAAAAAACTACGTTAGACATACAAACAAACAATGTACCCAATTGGAGAAAAATACACGGCCAACCAGGATGTCTTATATGAGATATTAACATATATGGTATATTTGGAAACAGCAGAAAAAGGACTTTCATTAGAGCTACATATATACAGGGTGTTCCATTTGAAAAAAAATATATATTTTTTCTTTCATCATAATTTTGCGATTTGAATTTGTTTGTTTTAGAAGCGCCAAAATATGCTACCGATAAAACCGTACAACTTTAATATTTAAAGTTTTTTTCCACCTCGTATAACTAGAGGTGTACGTAGGGGTCACAATAGGAGGAAACACCCTGTACAAAATGCTCATATTTTTCATTACAAATAATATTTTGCTTCAAGTTTTGTTTGTTGAATATTGAATAAAAATACCTAATTTAAAAATATCTTGCATATTTGTATATTATATAACTAGATATTAATCTGGGTGCATCTATGATGTTTTTTTTTTTAAATATGTAGGTATATAATATTAGGAAAGAGAAGGGAAGAAAACTATTAGTGTATGTCCACCAAAAAATCACCAACTAATTGATTTTAAAAAAAAATTACCAAAGGCGAATAGTACCCAAGAAAATACCTACATGCAATGCAATACATGAATAAAAAAAAGCAAAATATCTATTTAAACATGGTATCACCCGAGGTGTCACCTCTCTTGTAGTTTTCAAAATCCAATAGGGTTGGAGAAAACGGATCAAGTTTTTCATGCCACAATAAAGAATAATGGAAAATTGTTTTATCACACTCATCCGATTATGCTTTTTCTAATTTCTAAAATTAACATCACCAAAACCAAGTAAGAACAAGCAACCAAAAATTTCCCTAAAACAGTTTATGTACCCCAAACCAGCAAGCAGGTGACTAAATAAATTACTTACAATGGGATAACATCCAAATCATCATTAGGACTAATTGGCCTGATTGAAGAGCTTGTAGACATTCGTGAAGATTCCACATCCTCAGAAACTGAATCGGAAGCTCGATTCAAAATTGCCAAAGCACCATTTGCTTTAGTGTCAGCAGAATCCTCGGCAGCATCTGATTCAAGCTTTATCTCAACTTTCTCAGGAAAGCTAAATTCTAAGGAGTTGTATGTTTGGCGTTTTTTAGGGTAACTTAAATTATTTCTTGGTCTTAGCTGTCTTTGGAATGAATAACAAGTTTCTTCACCTACTAATTCACTAGAAATACTGCTTTTTTCTTTAAGACATTCTGGGAATGTATTGTTATGTTCCATATCAGAATAAATGTTTGGGAGACTACTATGTGTGCTTTCGTCATTATCATTAAGTGAAATTTGAGTTTGGCTTCCAGTTGAATCCATTATTTGGAACTTTTCAATGGGTAACTTGCTATAAGTATTTTTATTTTTATTAGGTAAACTGTCTATTTTCAAAGCTAGATTTGTCTTCTCTAATACTGAGTCTGATATGATATCCAGTTCTTTATCTTCTGCCAATTTAATGTTATCTGGTTTGATTTTATCTCTAATTTCATCTTCAAAAGGTTGAAGACTGTCATTCTCCCAATAGGAGTAATCAGTAATATTTGTACATATAGTAAAGTCCTGCGGTTTACCCTTGTCAGTATCTAGAGCTGAGGTGTCCATTCCAAGGAAAACAGGACTATTTGTACAAATATTTTCGTCAGGTAAACCGAAACTTTCACGAGTAGTATAAGAACGGCGTTGCCTTTTAGAGCCATAACATTTTCTACTGGGGCCATCTTTTCTCGGTGTGCTTGTGTTGATTTTAACACCACTTTGATTGAAGCTACCATAATTTGGAACCGGCAGTGATGTTTTAGCAGCGTTCAAGACTTTTGTTTGGCTTCGAGATCCACTCATACTACAACTGCCACACAAATGTTGATTAACCAAATTTTGATTTTGGAGACTAAAAAGATAATAGAATAATAATAAATTATTCACTATAGGCCATTCAACTTATATGTCACTTTTTTTATTTTAAAATATTGAGACTTATATTGATAAAAACAAGGCAATCTATCAAAATTATCGTTCTGTACGGTCGAAAGGAACATTTTGATATAATGACTCTGCATAGACAATGTATTTTCACAAGTGTTCTCCAATATTCGATTAAATTTTCTCAGTTCTAATATTTCATTAAGTGCCAATTTCCAAGAAATTGAAGAAAAACATCATTGGAAAACAACAAAAAATACAGACTTGACATTAAAAGTGAGATACTTTGTCGCCAAAAACTCTTGCTATTCGAGTAGCTCCACCATAGCTTCATAAAATATTAAAATACCGAATAGTGTATAGGAATAGAATCGAATAGAAAAATACTTTATTGTCAAGAATACAGGTTCTGTAGACGAAGCAGACTATAACATAATAATTTGACTAAAACTAATTTGCATAAACCAATTTCAAGAATTCAAAAACAGTAGGTACATTTAACACATTAACATTTTGAAATACTTAACATTATGAGGACAAAATTGATTAAATCCTCAACAAAAACTAAACAAGACACATAGGGCTCTTGCTTGCAGCACATTAGCACAAAAAACAAAAAGCAACTTACAGGCAGTAAATAAAAACAAATTACCTATTATCTATTGAAAATTTGTGAATAAGAAATACTTTGACTATGAAATTCATCAAGAATGTAAAATGATTTTTGTAATAAGGCCTTCTTTAGTTTTCTGCTAAAAATCAAAGCCGAGGCAGCACATCTAATATCCGCAGGTAAGTGATTGAAAAATTTTTCCCTCATTATTATAGATTTTTTTGTAAGATACCTTTTAGGAATAGGTAAGGCAACATGGTTTTGTTGGCGAGTAACTTGTGCAGTTCTATCACCTTCGTTGTTACCATAGTTTTTAGTTTTTATACACTAAACTGGCTGTTTCAAGTAAAAAAATTGATGTTAAAGCAAGAATTTTTAAGTTCTTAAAATGCGTCCTGCGAAATTCTCTCAGAGAAATGTCTTCTAAGAAGCGTACTGCCTTTTTTTGTGAAAAAAATAGGATATAAAGTAAATATTGGGTGGCTGTTCTCCAAAATGCTATTCCGTATTTTAAATGGAATTCGAATAGAGAAAAATAAACCTTTCCGGCCATATCAGCCCTCAACTCTAGTCTGACACATCTGACAACAAAATGTGTTGATCAAACCGCAATTGGTTATCAATATAAAGGCCCAGCAGATTCGTTCTGAATAGGATCATCTCCAAGCAAAGTTAATGTTCGGAATATTGCATTTAAAGCCAAGGATGTTAGTTTTTATTGACATCGAAACACAGGCGATTGGCATCGCACCACTTTTTTATCTTTTGAAGTTCTTGAGTTATGCTCAGCTCTAGGACGCTGGTGCTCTTGTGGTGCCACAGAAAGTGTGAATTCACCTAAAATGTCTAGATCCCGGTCTAGATATACAAGATCATTTATGTATATCAAGAACAACAACGCCACAGTTGACAACCAAGAATGCCACAGTTGACAACCAATGATGGAGAGGATGACCCAGACGCCAGCACACACTGAGTACTGTGAGTCCTAAACCATGACAACAGTAAGCCCCTGAAACCATAGCGCTCAAGCTTTGGCAACAATATTCCGTGATCCACACAATCAAATGCCTTGGAAAGATCACAGAACATCGCCGCGACCATTTCACCCTTATTGATCTCAGTATAGACTTGTTCAAGAAAGTTAAAAATTGCGTTATGAGTTCCCTTGGATGAATGAAATCCAAACTGCTTTGGTGTAATAAGCTTAAACTTGGTAAGGTATATCCACATGCGCTTTTTAACTATTTTCTCAATGAATGACAAGTGCTATTGAGAACTTCAAAAGAAACAAAAACGATAAACATTTTGCCTACAAGGGAAATCAAATACAGCTTTGATGCTGACAAAAGCTCTATCAACTTGCTTGGCCCGGAGTACCCGGCATTTTCTAATAAAAAATTGGGATTAGCTAATGCACGCCTAGAGTTGCAAGATGCTGCTAAAAAAAATTATTCACAATATCTATTAATCAACACGTTATCCCCAATTATTTCATCCAGGCCATGTTGATGACAGCCTGGACAAGTCAGCATTTTTTCCAAAAATTGAGGCCCTCTAGTGCTCGTAATTTTGTTGAAAAATTTTGATATTTAATATCTAATCGTCAATTACTTCTTCCGGACCATGTTGATGACAGCCCGGATAGGTCAGCATTTTTTAATCAAAAATTGACGTCCTCTAGTGCTCGTCTAGTGCTAAAAGATGCTGCAAAAAGTTTTTGAAAGGACCCCCCAATATTTAAATGGAAATTGGTTACCCGTGAATTTTGGATGAAATTTAAATATGTTATTGGGGATGTCGTAAGCATCATTTTTTATCATGGGCGCAGCCCTGTATATATGACAGGTGAGGCGTGGTTAGCTGTCAAATAGTGGAATCTTATATCCAAAAGCAGAGTAACTATGACAGATTTTGATATACCAAAAATCTATTTCTACTAAGTCGACCAAGTTAGGTCGGAAAATGTCAACCATTTTGACACCTGTCAAAATCCTGCCAAATGGCAGCACTCACCTTTTCCAGTTTTCAATATTTTATGATGTCATTTGACATTTTTTACTTATAGGTAAATTCTGAATTCAAAAATTGAAAAAAAAAGACAGAACTGTCAAAACCTGTCATTTTTTTTTTAGTGGAAAAAAATACTGTAATCTGTTTTTTTTTTTTGTTTCAAGGTAGTTTATTGGTGATAAAACATTAAACAAAGTTCATGCATGTCACATTTTGACAACTGTCAGAATCTGTTAATAGTTTTTTGGTTGATATTGAGTTTGTTTGCTTAGTGAAATTCTATAACGGGCATAAAATTGATTTAGTTCTACAACGAAAGTTCGTTGTTTATATATTAAGTTCGTTGTTTATGTGTTGTTGATATGTTGTTGATATTTGAGAATTGCTAGTGCTATAGTTAATGCATTTCATCCACCTGTTGTGATGCACGGTAAGTAACACACATAATTTTAAGTATGTTCATGAAAAATTAGGTAAACAATATGCACAAATTATGTTATCTTAGCTATTTTACAATAATTCAAAACTGCTTCCAGGTTTCAATGCTGAAACTGCACAAGAAATGCTCCATTTAGCTGCCCAGCCAAATCTTTTACAACAGAGAGTGGAAAATGGAAATCTCTTGAGACATGGTGGACAAAGAATAAATATAGAAGATGTCTTTCAGTTTCCCATATTACCTGTAGAATACCTGATATCAAAAACATTTGGTACATACCAAGTGAAATTGGCACCTGCTTACGTACAAGACAAAAAAAGAAGAGGTATTGACGGATTTGAGGGCCCATCAGATTGATCAGAATCTGATTAGAGTTCGAATCTTCTCTAGACACGTACAGGCAGCTCAACATACATATTTCGTTGCCTACCACCACGAAAACAACGAGAATATTGTTGATCCAATATCAGGCACTTACTGCACATGTAAAGTAGGTGCCAAAACGTTGGGTGTCTGTGCACATGTTGCATCAATTTTATGGTATCTGGGGCACGGAAGATATCCCGAAAACAATTCGAGGTATCCATCAAATCAACTTTTGACTGTCATTTTGGATGCAGCCAATAGAAACCAAGAAAATGTTGAATAGTAATAGATATTTATGTCATAAGGATCATAATGACAATCATTATGGTACTAGCCGTGAATATTATCAGGCGAGGCGTTAACCGAGTCTGATAACATGGAGTGTGCCATAATGATTGTTTATGATCCGAATTTCATACAATATTTTATATTCCGACCTGTCAAAATGACATCATTGTGGATTTCATTTGTAAGTGTCAAATTGTTTGAGTACTTTAATGATTTCATTACAGTACTGAGTACTTATAATGATTTCATTAAAGTACTCAAAAAAATCGCCGGTACATAAAATCCTGTATACTAAAACTACCGAGGGGTCGACACCTCCTGACAGTAGCTGTACAAATTAGTTCACAGTACCTACAATACTTAAACAATACCGTCATAGGTCTGTAAAAATACCATGTATTTTCATAGCAATTGTCACAATACCTAAAATGACTCACAATACTTCCGAAGTAGCTCTACAGTATTGACAATACTAAAACAATACCAAAAATCCGTCAAAAATACTTAACAGTATCTCTACAGTACTCACAATACCCGCTGACAATACTGATAATCCCTTGACAATACTAAAAGAATACGTGTGAATCGGGTTACGAGCTTTTAAAAGCGTTGCACCACATGACAGGCCAAGTGGCAGAGAGATGCACGAGGTGAATTCATTCGCAATAAAATAAGTGAAGTGTCATATTGCATAGTGAAAAAAAGTTTTGTGAAAATGTACAGTCGTGAGCATAAAAAAGGGACACTGATTGTAAAACGGCCTCACCAGCTACACCGTCGGCAATGGCAGGGATTGTCATATTTGACAAAAAATCCGTTGTACAGAAAAGACTGATTTTCCCAAAATAGCGAAAAATGACAAGACCTCTGTCAGTCGAGTGTACCACTTTTAATGCCCACGACTGTAGTATTTATAATATACAATAAAGCCCGTTTTACATATTCGTGTAGTTACTGCAGAAAGAAATACATAAGTGTCGAACAAAAATATTAGCCTTTGACCTTAAATAAATACGTGTATCAATCCACGAAACAAAACTTGCTCTAATTTTGATGCATTTAATCTGTGATTTGATCGTGTATTTCATTAACCTCATTTTTCTAAAAAAATATATTTTTACTGGAATTTGGGGAAAATCGAAGGGAAAATAAATTTATCTATAGTTTGTTTCGAGGTTTGTTTTCGAAAAGTGCTTGGATGGAATTTGGAATTTTGGGCGCTGTGGTTTTATAATAAAATAATGGATGC